TCCCATAATGGTACTCATCTTTTCTGCATCATGGCCCATTTCATTCTCTTGCATGTGCTCAACAATATGTTGAGCGGCTGCGAGGGACAGCAATGAGCTAGTGTTTTACACAGCTTCTTGTGACCTTAGGCAAGTCTTGTCCTCACTGCTGGCAGAGTCTCCATCTCTATTTCTCTTTGCATGTCTTCCAGCTGGCTTACTGGCTCCCAATTCCATCCTTTACTGTGCACATTTCACTCATTTTTCAGCCTTTCCCCTATATTCCGTATCACTCCACAAGATGGTGACCATTACTATTAATTATTATTTGCCAATACTCAAAAATGTGCTCAGTATTATACACAAGCCCTGAGATGCTTGCAGTTTGTATCGTCAGACAAGACAATTCAGCCACACCCTGGGTGAGATCAGGAAGGTTCTAGCTAAAAATAGGGATTTTACATTTATTTATATATGAGTAGGTGGCAGCATTTTACTGATCTGGATTAATGTTTGTGGTCTTCATAGAAGACATGAGTTTTCACTTTGGATTTCAAAAAAAAGGGTGGATGCCTGGCACAGTGGGATAGGAAATAATAGGAGACTAATAAATTTATTTGGGCATACGCTTTCGTGGGCTAAAACCCACTTCATCAGATGCATGGAGTGGAACATACAATAGGGAGATATAAATACACAACATATTAAAAGATGGGAGTTGCCTTATCAAGTAGGGAGTCAGTGCTAATGAGTCAATTCAATTAAGGTGGAAGGAGATAAGAATGAAAGTGATGAAAGGAGTGGAGAAGTGGGAATTCCATCCCTTCTCCTGTTATTGGGAACTCCAACTGACTTCTCAACCGCCATCGAACCTACAGCTTCAAACATTCCATCCCGTCTCCAGTTACAGGACCTATTGCTATTGAGCTTTCCCCCTTTCCCATACTGCATTCCTTCTACTATTAAAGGTGCTCCAGTTGTCATTTCCAATGGTCAAAGAACCTTCTGCCTCCAACATTCCATCCAGTCTCCTCTCAAAGGAGCCCCCAGATGTCATGTCTAACAGGCAGAGACCGTTCAAAGATGTCAACATCCTAGCCTTTCCTTTAGAGAGGCTTTCAAGGGTCATTCCCACCAGCCACTGAACCTTCTGATTCCAACATACCATCCCTTCCCAAAATATCCTGCCTGCTTGTTCAACCACAATAGAGAGAATACCATCCCTGTATCCCCTGTTATATATGCTCCCACAACTCAATGACTTTGCATATACCCTGTATATTATTGCCTCTTCTTCCAACCACTTGTCTCATTCTGACAACAATATTGCCCCTCTGCCAAGCAGTAGCAGATGTCAAGGGTCTTGCAGGTTGACTTCTCAGTGCAGGAGAAATCAATGACATAAAATTTGGGTATAGTCCAAGTGTAATTAGCTTTATTTACACTATATGCACTAATCCTGGAACAGAGATACTGGCAATTCTTTTTTTTTTACACCACTGACCATCTCTCAGGGAGCAACTTTGCCTCAAGACTTGGCTCTAATCAGAGACCCAAGCAGAAAGCAATTACTTTCTTGCCACTCACTCAGCAAATTCTGCCCAGAATCTTGTATACTCCCAAACTAACACAGCCACCCGCATTTCTTCCAAGATTTGAGAACTTGCTTGCACATGAAGAAAACAAACTTTGAAGACTACGTGTAACAGTGCCACCTGGCAACATGTGCAATAACAATATTTATTATATAAATAAAGGTAGGTTTACAGTACATTTAACAGTCTAACTAGTAATCAAAATATTATGTGTGCAATGTTGGTGAGTTATTGTTGCCATGAGAATTGTAATCTTTCAATTTCTTGTCACTTATGCATTAAATTTGTCATTTTAATGTTGCAAAATCATATTTGATTAATAAATAGGAACTTTATCACCCAGCAGTGGGAATGCCACCACTTTTGGATGCTACAAAATAACTGTTTGACTTTGCACATCAATGCTGCACAATAGCGTGCGTGTGGCGGGAGGGGAGGAAATTATCTCAGTATCTGGCCCTTTGTTGATCATGAAAGCAAGCAGGTGAGAATATGCAGATGATAAGAGTAAGCAAAGTGATTCATAAGCTTCCCTACACACCTAACTGCAGACCTATAACTGTCCTGAATTCAACCTTTTCCACTGCTGAAGCTCTTGTGAGTAGTAAAGCGCTTTCAGCTCTACTGATGAATGACACTATATAAAAGCTAGGTTTATTATTATTATTCCTAACCATGGAACACAATCAACTACAAATACATTATTTGCTATGAAGCATTCTCTCTGTTTCGGTAGTGGGAGAAGGATGCTGACTGCTTATCGGAACAATCTGTAATCATTTTAAAAATATGTGCCAGTTCCAAAACTCGCATCAGAACAGCAAACATTGACTGAGTACACGCACATAAAATTGAACCCTTGTGGGGAAAGCGAGGAGCTGAGAAGATCCATAAGAGAGGAGAATGAAATAATTCCAGGAACAAATGGCTGAAAACAATACCCTCTTTCAACAGAAACCTTCTGAGATCTCAGTTACAGAGCTGGCTTGACCTGCCAGTAAAGTGGAACAAGGCCACTTGGCAGACATCTTTGTGCTTCTGGTAGATCCCCAAGAATTGTGCGTATCTCAGGAATCTGTGAGACATGAGAGCTGAATCCTCTGCTTCTTCTGTATCATGTGCAAATAGACCTCCTCCTCCCCCAACCCTGATAGGATTCAAAGGAAAGCCCATCATGGGAATGTCCCACTGTGACACTCTGTAGCTCAGGGGAACACCCTGCACCCCCATGCTCATCCTTATAATATGATTGTGTGGTATCCAATGCAAAGTTTGTCATGTTGGGTGTCTTTGGAAGGCTCATGATGTACTGAGCATTGTTGTTATAGTAATGTTATAGAGATGTTATAGGTTGTAATTTCATGTATATAGTTATGAGGCTGAAAATGTGTCCTCATAACAAGCCCAGACAAAACTCTCCAGGAACAGAGGGGCAGTTCACACCTGATCAGGGCATGTATGGGACAAACCCAGCCCAGCCTCACAGGAACAAAGGACACTGGTCTAGGCAGCAACAAAGGATCTGTTGGACTCTCCAGTGAGTCACCCCCCTTCCCTTGGTCAGTTTGGAACTATGATGAGGTAATGCTCACCTGACCCTGAAGCGGGGGAGCAAAGCCAAGAGGGAAGAAAGAACATGATAAAAGGGAGAGACATTTGCCATGCTCTTCCACCTACATCTACAGACACCACCACCAAGTGACTGAAGCGCTGATCAAAAGGGAGAGCCTGGCTGAAGGACAACTAGCCAGCCTGTGGGGAGACGCATCTAAGTTTGTAAGGGCACTGAAAGTGTTAAGATCAGCTTAGAACATGTTTTGCTTTTATTTCATTTGACCAAATCTGACTTGTGCTTTGACTTACAATCACGTAAAATCTATCTTTTGTGGTTAATAAATTTGTTTATTCCTGAAGCAGTGCATTTGGTTTGAATCATGTTAGAGACTCCCATTGGGATAACAAGCCTGGTACATCAAGCTTGCAGCATCCAGCAGGCATAACTGGACACTGCAAGGTGGAAGTTCCCAGGGTTGTGTCTGGGACTGGAGATATTGGCTAGTGTCCTTTGCAGAGCCGGCTTTAAGACAATTCGGCCGATTCCCTGGAATGGGGCCCCGTGCCTAAAAGGGCCCCGCAACGTCCGGGGCTGCCGGCGGAGCAGGAAAAAAAAAAAGCCGTGTCCTGCTTCACCCCCCTCCCTCCAGCGCTTGTGCCACCATACAGCTGATCAGCGCAAGCCTGGGAGGGAGGGGTGAGGAGGAGGAATGCGGCGTGCTTGGGGAAGAGGCGGGG